TTACTGGGGCATTAAGGCTGATTTATACTTCTGCGTCAAACACCGGCGTATGCTACGGCGCTGACGCATAGCCCTTCGCCGTGGCCATCGCCGTCACTGACGTGCACCTCTCAAAAAATGTAACTACACGTCGCAACGACGCGTAGCGTAAGCTCTGTGATTGGTCGGCTTGGTAGCGCTGACGAGTCTGGGCGGTACTGAGAGCCGCGCGAATGGTGCGACGCCGCGCGAGCGATTGTTTACAAGTGTGGAGTCCCGTGAAGGAGCTCCGGATGGAAAGTTTTGTTTTGTGTTTACCTCATAGTTAAAGTTGTTGCACGTCCGCCGGTTCCTGCCTCAAAATGAGCGAGGTTGAGCCACTTGTACATCCCGGAAGTGTTCAGGAAAAGCAAAAAAGCAGCGAAGAAACTCGACACAGAGGAACATTTACACCTCACTGCCCACTAGCGTTTCGGAAGTGTTAATGCAGACCAACAGAGACAGCGCGCAGAAGTATAAATGCACAGCCACGCGGTTGCCTGCACCGTGGGTTACGCCAGTCACCTGACGCAGAAGTATAAACCAGGCTTTAGAACTCACACAGACCACAGGTTGAGCGCCCCCTGCTGGCCTCTCTAACACCACTTCCAACAGCAGCCTAGTTTTCCCATGTGGTCTTCCATCTAGGTACTGACCAGGCTCAGCCCTGCTTAGCTTCAGTGAGTTACTGGTCTTGGGCTGCAGGGTGATAAGGCTGCAGCCATGTTTATTTCTTAAACCTACTTTTTAAATATTAGATTAATTGAGGACTCTAAATGATCAAAATATAAATTAGTTGAAATTTTTTTTCTATTTTATAGCAAAATCATGCTTAAACAAATTAATCAATCAGTATAGTAAACCTACATTTTTTTTTTTTGCGTTTTCACCATAAAATGGAGCACTTGGTTCATGATTCATCCCCCAAAAAATAAAAAGGACCCACTCATGTGGTTCTAAAGATTCAGAAGTTTCTTTTTTGGTAAATAACCACAACAACAACAACAAAAAATACATATATTTTAAAGAATGTTTGAACTAGTGGTGGGTCGTTGATTGACATTCTCCCTTTATACGTGTCATCAGAGAGGGAAAGCCCCGCCCACTAGTGACCAACTCTACTTCATTAGCATAGACAGTGCTGAGTGAGAAGCAGCTGTTTTGAATCTGCTGCTACACTAACGCTGTATGTCAGCGTCAATGCTTTCCATTCACTTTGAGTGGGTGACGTCAGGCGTTGTGGATCCATTGTGGATCTGTCGGCGCCGCTTTAGAGGCGTTGCTCGCTGCAGAAGTTGGGACTTGCACTACCTTTCAAGCGCCGACGGAAGCGTTAGCCAATCAGATCGCTGTATGCATATACACCAGCTAGACAGTGGCCTAAGGCTAGTACTGACTGAATTTTATTGGCTGACGCTGCTATGACGATCGCGGTAGCCCAAACCTCAGACACGCCTTCAGTCAAGCGTTGACGCTGAAGTCCCGTGTGAATGGGGTGTAACAAGTAGGCATTTTTAGCCCTGCCCTCTTTTCAAAGTCTCATTTAAATTTAAAGCGACAGTCGTAAAAACAGCACAATTTTCATCAAAGCCTAAAAAGAGGCAGTTTCAAAAGACTTATAAAACATTATTTGTGTGATTTTTGAGCTAAAACTTTACAAACATACTCTGGGGACATCAGAGGCTTGTTTGAAATCTTGTGAAAAGGAGCATAATATGTCCCCTTTAACGCAGCCCATCTGATGTGCTGAAAACGTGACAGAAACAGAGCTACGAGCTGTTTGTTTCCCTGTGCTAACCCTCAAAATACGGCTCCAGCAGACTTTATATAGAAGCCACTGAAAGCCTGGGTGACTGCAGCTATTTCCTCCACTTCAACAGAAACAATGGAGCGAATCCTGAGAGAAAAGCAGACTCCGCCTCCTTCCTCATCCTCCTCCCCCTCTTCACTACCTCATAAATCAGTCAGTAACATCTAGACAAAACATCCCAGTCTACACCAGACGAACAGGGAAACTATTTTTGACTTTATTTGATTATATTGTTCATAAAAAGCTATATAGCATTTGAGTTTTATAATAAGCTAGTACTATACTAGTTAAAAGTAATCAAAATACCACAAGTAACGTTTGAGAAGTGTACATATATGGATGGTTTAAAACTAAAAGAATAGCGATCTCACCTTTATGAAAAGTCAAATGTGGAATATATTTCTCACATTAAGCCAGCAAATTAAATGTATCATCCATAAATTTGAACAGTTTTGATTTATTATACTTATCTACAGTGCTTTGCAAAAGTTTTAGGCCACCACCAGCTTTGGGAGACTAACAGGTATGGAGCAAATGCAGGGTCGGTGAATTATATATTTAATATTCACCTAGAAAATATAGTAAATATGTATTGAGTACTCGAGCAAAATGACTTTTAGAATCAACAGACGAGCATTAAAAGTCTTTTTAACGTGACCTCTTTAGCACCAGGCAACAGCTTGAACTTTTATGTTGAGTCTTTTCTGAAATGATGTGCTATTTAATATAATTTAATATCTACTTATTATTATTCATAATTTAATATTATTCTATCTATTTTTCTGTCCAAGAGTCTAAGACGTTTGCACACGCACACGCACACGCACACACACACACAAAGATATACAGATATATATATATATAATTTATGATCAACTATTGTTTTTACAGCTGCAGATACATTTACGGCGGTACAGATTGAATGATAATAACTCACCATCTTTTTCTTCTGATAATCCTGCAAGATTTTGTTGATGCGGTCGCGCTCCTAGGATAGCAAAATCAAATTGAGAGATGAAAATGAGAGATGTTTCTGAAAGGCCAAAATTCTGGATTAGTTCACCCAAAAATGAAAACTCAGTCATCATTTTTTTCAGCCTTCATTTGTTCCAAACCTGTTTGAGTTTCTTTTTTCTCTTGAACAAAAAAGATGTTTTGAAGAATGTTGGAAACCTGTAACCATTGACTTTTATAGTATTTGTTTTTCCTGCTAAAAGTTAATGGTTACCAGTTTTCAGCTTTCTTCAAAATATCTTCTTTAGTGTTTAACAGAAGAATGAAACTCATAAAAGTTTGCAACCACTTAAGTGTGGTTTAAAAAAAAGAAAAAAAAGTGTCAATTTTCATTTTTCGGGTGAACTATCCCTTTAAGCAATGAGCAGAAGCTTTTAGTCAAGCAACATAAAAAATTTAAATAACATAAAAAAGAAAAAAATTGTTTTGTTTTTTTTAAAAAGCATAAATGTCAAATATTTATGCCCAAAAAGTCCAAACCAAGTAAGCAGTGCACATTTGGAAACATTTTTATAAATGTCAGTTTCTCTAAAAACAGCAAATTCACATCCTTTCCAAGTCTGTGGCGTCAAAACATTTGTTGAACATTCAGCATGTAATAAATATGGAAGGACTGAGATTTTCCAAGTGAATATAAACACGTGCACTGACAACACAAAATGGTGTTGGATTCACTAAAACAAATTACTTTACTTTTTAATTTACTCAAGAAGGAATTTTATAAATAAATCCAAATAAATGGCAAATAACAAACTGAAGGAACGTGGATTTTTAATGTGTGCTTACAAAAATACAATTCCTCATAACAACCACAAAAAACTGAAAAGTATTAAAAGTGGATTTTAAATACAATTTAATAGATAAGATAGATGCTGCCAAGAGTTCTATTAGAAAAAGATACTTGTATAATAAATTCTGTGTTTGAAAATAAATTGTATTGTATTTGAGTTCTTTCATCAAAGATGTGGATTTTTCAGATGGTTGAATAATTGTTTGTGGCCAATGCTAATCATGCAGATCCATATTGATAAACTCTTCAATAAATGTTTGTTGTACTTTGTATTCTGCACGATGATGAAAATCACTTTTGAATAGATAACAGGAGGAGCATTATCTAGTTTTGATATATACAGTTGAAGTCAGAATGATTCGCCCTCTTGTGATTTTTATTCCTTTTCAGATATTTCCCAAATGATGTTTAACAGATTCAGGAATTTTTCACAGTATTTCTTATAATATTTTTTCTTCTGGAAAAAGTCTTATTTGTTTTATTTTGGCTAGAATAAAAGCAGTATTTAATCTTCAAAAATCAAACTTTTTAAGATACCTCCAGGTTCACCACTTTGTTCAGACCCAGTGCTCTGTATTCCCTCAAATGCCTGCTGAATCTGGACTGGACTTAATTTTTAAAACCCCTGTACACCCCAAAGGTCTCATTTCCAAAATGTATAACCTTATTATGATATTCCTAACACAACACTAGAGAAGATTAAAATGTAATGGATAAAAGAACTAGGAATGAATATTTCTGAAGAAACTTGGGATAAAGCAGTTAAAATTATAAACAAGACTTCATCATGGGCGCGTCTTAATCTGATTCAGATGAAAATTCTTTACCGTATTCACTACAGCAAAACCAAACTGGCTAAAATCTACCCCGATATAGATGAAACATGCGATCATTGCAACTCATGCAAGGCAGACCTAACCCATATGTTCTGGTCATGTGACAAACTGAGACGATTTTGGTCTTCAATATTTGAAATTTTAATCTCAGCCTTCAATTTAAGAATTCAACCAAATCCGGAAATGGATATTTTTGGAGTAGCAAATGAGGACATCCATGTAGCCAAAGAAATAGAAAACGCCTTTGCCTTTGTAACATTAATAGCTAGAAGAAGAATTCCTATGGAGTGGAAATCACCAATGCCACCTAAACTGTCACTTTGGCTTAGTGATGTAATGCTATTTTTGAAAACAGAAAAAATTAAATATTTTTAGGATCAACCAAAACATTTGTCAAAACATGGGACCCTCTAATAATTCATGTTGAGACTAATGTAATTTTTCTCTTCTTCTTCATTCATTTATATCACATTTTACCTGTTTTTATGTTTTTTAATCAGTTTTATCATTTTTTTTTGTTTTTTTTACTTTTTTCTTTTATTCTTGTTTATGTAAAGCACTTTGAATTGCCACTGTGTATGAAATGTGCTATATAAATAAACTTGCCTTGCCTTGCCTAATGTACTCCTCCAACCAAAAATTCCCACCCCCACCCCCACGTTTTTTTATTTTTTTTTATTTTTTTTTATTTATTGTATTTATTTAATTTTTTTAATTTTTATTTTTTTTGTAAATTTATTTTTATTTTATTTTCATTTTTATTATCATTAATATATATTTTTATTTAATGCATTTTCTTTTCAAAAAATTTTTTACTATGTTTATTTGTCTCTGTTTAAAATTTATGTATGGTTAAAAAAAAAAAGAAAAATTAAAATACCTTTGTCATTGAATACCTTTAATGTACTGTACCTTTTGTCAAAAACACACACAAAAAAAATACAGAATAAAAGCAGTTTTTAATTTTTTTAAACCAATCAATAATATTAGCCTCTTTAAGCAATCTTTTTTTCGATAGTCTACAGCAGTGGTTCTCAAAGTGGGGGTCACAGGACAATAAGAGGGGGGGGGGGTTGCCTGGTGATTTCCAAAAATCTATTTATTTTTATTAAACCATAAGAATTACCATATTTAATCCATAATCTACTGAAGTGAAAAAAATGTTGTTTATAGTTACTATATAATTTTATATAAATAATTTTTTAAAAGTGTGACTGCTGAGAGCGACAGATTCTGGAGCTAGGGACACCGGCCCTCGCAGCCAAAAAACAGACCGGCCCACCGGGAATTCTCCCGGTCCTCCCGATTAGCCAATCCGGGCCTGGTTTGAACTAAAATATGCAGAACACCGCCCCTCCAGGACTGAGTTTGGACGCCCCTGCTATATACTATATAGTTACTATAGTAGCTTATAGTTCTATTGAATTGCGACCCCTGAGGTATTCACATTATATTAAGACAAAGCAATAGCGTCAGATGCAGCAGATTGATTTTATAACACCAGGTTAAACTTTCTGATGCATTTACAGCACTGACATACATAAAAAAAATTAAACAAAGAATAGACTTGAGTCTATTGGTGTGTGTGCGCCATTGCATGCAAGGTTTCTGTATTTATAACCACCTCAGAGGATGTTGGGGGTCATGAGTCACTGGCATTGTCATTTTGAGGTCGCAGGCTGAAAAGTTTGGGAACCCCTGATCTACAGAACAAACCACTGTTATACAATGACTTACCTAATTACCCTAACTTGCCTAATTAACCTAGTTAAGCCTTTAAATGTCACTTTAAGCTGTATAGAAGTGTCTTAAAGAATATTTAGTCTTATGTGCTGTCATCATGGCAAAGATAAAATAAATCAGTTATTAGAGATGAGTTATTAACACTATTATGATTAGAAATATGTTGAAGAAATACAGGGGGCTAATAATTCTGACGTCATCTGTATATAGACATAACCTTTAATTCCTATATTTAGTAAATGCAGGAATGTTGTGGTTGTAAAAGGCTGTATTTCAGTGTGCAAAAGCTGAAAACAAAATAAAAAATATTGTGGCAAACAAAATCTGAATTGTAACTGACCGTGTAGCTGGTGGGGTTTTGCGGTAAATTCTGCATCATGACATCCATTTCATCAAATTTCTTGAGTACCGCCTGCACTTCAACATGGAGCTCTTTATACTCGGAGTACTGGTCATTAAACACAGCTTTATACTGGTCCCGCTGCTCATCGGTGCGAATAGCTGGATATTTACTGCAGGGAAAGACAAGGCAAGCACTTTAAGGACATTTATTTATTTTCCTTTGGCTTAGTTCCTTATTTATCAGGGGTCGCCACAGCGGAATGAACCGCCAACTATTCCAGCATATGTTTTATGCAGCAGATGCCCTTCCAGCTGCAACCCAGTACTGGGAATAACCCATACACTCTCATTCACTCACACACACACACACTCAAAAACTGCGGCCAATTTAATTAATCCAATTCACATGCAAACATGCAAACTCCACGCAGAAATGCCAACTGGCCCAGCCAGGACTGAAACCAGTAACCTTCTTGCTGTGAGGCGACAGTGCTAACCACTGAGCCACCGCACTTAAAGGGACAGTTCACTCAAAAATGTAAAATCTGCCCTCATTTACTCGTCTTACACTTGTTCAAAACCTGTAAGAGTTTCTTTCTTCTGTTGAACATAAAGGAAGATAAACTGAAGAATGTCAACGGGTGCATTTTTCCAACATTCTTCAGAATATCTTCCTTTGTGTTCAACAAAAAAAAAAAGAAAGGTTTATAAACACTTGAGCGCAAGCAAATGATGAGGAAGTAAATAAATTAATCAAATCGTGAATATTTATCATTGTCATATAACAGTAATAGTTTGCTTGTGTTTTTGCACAACTGTACTCACGCAACATAATCCGGCATGATCACAGGTTTAGGAGTGTGTCCCGCTGGAATGTGTCCTTTCACAACTTTAGGATTGGAGACGGCAGTGTGTGTTTTCTGTACCGGCGCTAAAACAGACACTGGCTCTCTTGAACCATCAACAACCTGAACAAAGAGAATGACAAACACTAAATAACAAGTGTAGTCACAAACTGACTCTTTGCTAAGCCCTTGGCCAACTTCGTTAAAGCTGCTGATGAAGTGCTGCATTGTTTGCATATATTTGTGGGCTGAAACCGAGAAACAAGAATCACTTTGACACTCCAAAAATTTTTTTTTTTGCTTGTTTAAACTACTAATTTAAAATGAGCTGAAACAACACAATTCTTGAGATTTCATTGGGACAGCTAAACTGTTTTATGTTAAATTTACATAAATTTGTTAAAAGTGTTCAGTTAACTTAATCAATTTGTGTTGGGACAACATAAATGAATTTTGTGGAACCCTGCATTTTTTACAGTGTAGTTCCATCAAGTACTTCCATAAAGTAAAACCCCCTGTAAATTCAGCCTAGCTGTGTTCACACCAGACGCGGAAGAAGCGTCAAGCGCGAGTGACTTACATATTAAGTCAATGCAAAGACAAGAATAGACATCCTTTGACATCCTTTTATCTGAACGCTTGCTTAATGTAAGAGTGCTTCACACTTGCTCATTTTGAGGCAGGAACCGGCGGACATGCAACAACTTTAACCATGAGGTAAACACAAAACAAAACTCTCGCACTGCTCTCAGTCCCGCCCACACTCGTCAGCGCTACTAAGCCAACCAATCACAGAGCTTGCGCTACGTGTTGTTCCGACGTTTAGTTACATTTTTTGAGAGGTGCGCATCAGCGACGCCAACGGCCACGGCGAGGGCTATGCGTCCACACCTAGGCTGCGCCATAGCATAAGCGTGCGCTTAACGCAGAAGTACAAATCAGCCTTTAGGGCGTACTCACACTATGCTATCCGAACCGTGCCCCGGCCCGTTTCCCGGATCGTTTGAGAAGTGCGAGTGCTCTGAATCGGGCTCAGGCACGGTTCACTTGGCCGGCCCTGGCCCGGTTGGAAGAGGTGGGCCTGAGCGCAGTTCACTTGGGCTTTGGTGCAATATGCTTGTATGTGAACGCAAAACGCGCCAGAGCCCGAAACTGAAAGCGAGACGTGACTTTTAAGGGACTATTTCATATGGATTTATTAATCATTCTTACTGTTCAGTGAACGCAAACTGCTGTAGTTTATTAAAGGCCCAAACCCCTCACTGCACGACAGCTGCACCTTCAGCAGACCTCCTAATTCCTGCAGCACGAGGACTTTATGATTGTTTATGAGCATAAAAAGTGGCGGATCTGTTCAACATTAAGCGTCGTTCTGTGCATTATGCGTGTATTGCTCAAGTTAAAATATCTGAACTTCAGAGGACAATTGCACCGGGTTAACCAATCAGGAGCTTGCTCTAGTAGGGAAGTGATTATGATTTAGCGCCTGTTGTTGTTGTCCCGAGGGGAAATCCTCCTGCCGACACCAGACAACAGCTCATCAAACTAGGCTCTGCTCAGTCTGAAACACCGCTAAAAGCCTCCATTATCCAGGCATAGCTTCTTTAGAAGTTGATGAGACTCAGACACAGTGCCGGATGACTCTATGCTGTATTTCAGCCTTCCTAAAGCACATAAATACAGCTATTCTCTCAATAAAATCCATGTTAGCCATTTAACAACGCTGCTAGAGTCATCGGCCAGACAGAAGCCCTGCCCATGGTGCGAATCCGCGTCTAATGTGAAGTGAATGTGACACACGTTTGAAGCGAGTAACCTCAAAATGTTCACGCGTCTATTTACGCGCAAATATCGCGATTTATTCATGCGTTCCACGTCTGGTGTAAACACAGCATAACTATTTTGAAAATACATGTGAAAATAATGTGTTAAACTTAAAGGAACACTCCACTTTTTTTGGAAACTGGAAACATTCAAGTTAAACATTTGAGATTTACCATTTTTAATCATATAAGTGTCACGTTAGGAGGAAACAATTCTTATACTACAGGACAGAAGCTGTACTTCAAACCACACGCATTTGCGATGTTTGTGGGAACGTAGGATTCGGGAAACACAGAATCTGTAAAACTTTATTGATAACTACAGATATGGTAACCTTAGTTGTCTAACGATGGTTTTGGGAAATACATCACAGAGTAATTTGTTATTAACTATCAATGCTATACACTGAAATGATACTTCAGATGATAATGCAGCACAGCTAAACGTGTACACAAATAGAGACAAACACTTACCAAATGTACCGCAGCAGGAGAATCTCTTGGCTGCATCTGTAAAACAAATGTGGAGATGATTCAATTGTTGTTTTTCTAAACATATTATGTGTAAAAACAAATGATGATATTGGCAACAATCCTAAATATCTGCTGTAAAATACCTGTTCTAACTAGGTGTCACATGATGATACTGCAGCAATTTGTTTACTAAAGCAAAAATGGTGTATAATAATCACAAAGTTACAGAAACATTTTGTTTGGAGTATTTTTGAAATCCTTTAGGCTACTTGTCAAAGCAATATTTCACATTTTATTTAACGACGTACTAATGGCCCGTTGCCACTGAGTGGTACGGTATGGTACGCTTTTATGTCTGTTTCCACTGTCAAAAGGTATCCAACAGCGAACTGTACCATAAGACTTTTTGGGCACCCTTTCCAAAGGGTACTTAGCACATCAAAAGGGTACCAAAAGGCAGAGCAAGACGCCCAGCTGAAAACTATTGGTTTACAGCGAAGCTGTAATACGCTAGTTTTCAACAGAAGACGGCGCTCTAAGCTAAATTTTAAACAGCAAATGGCACTGTAGACTGTTTTTTAACAGCACTCTAGACTTGTTTTTCACAGCAGATGGAGCTCTAGACTAGTTTTAAACAGCAGAATGCTTTCTAAACTAGTTTATAAAGAGCAGTTGGTGCTTTTGGCTTGTTTTTAACAGCAGATGACACTCTAGGCTAGTTTTATACATGAGGCGGTGCTTTAGGCTAGTTTTTAACAGCAGATGGTGCTCTAGGCTAGTTTTTAAAAAGCAGACGGTGCTCTAGGCTATTTTTTTTAACAGCAGATGGTGCTCTAGACAAGTTTTTAACAGCAGATGGTGCTCTAGACAAGTTTTTAACAGCAGATGGTGCTCTAGGCTAGTTTTATACAGGAGGCGGTGCTTTAGGCTAGTTTTTAATAGCAAATGGTGCTCTAGGCTAGTTTTTAAAAAGCAGACGGTGCTCTAGGCTAGTTTTTTTTTAATAGCAGATGGTGCTTTAGGCTAGTTTTTAACAGCAGATGGTGCTCTAGACAAGTTTTTAACAGCAGATGGTGCTCTAGGCTAGTTTTTAAAAAGCAGACAGCGCTCTAGGCTAGTTTTTTTAACAGCAGACAATGCTCTAAGCTACTTTTAACAGCAGACGGAGCTCTAGGCTAGTTTTTAAAAAGCAGACATGCACCAGACTAGTTTTTAACAGCCTAGCTTAGAGCACCATCTGCTGTTAAAATCTAAGCTCAGAATCCATTCAAGTGAAAACAGTGATGCATATTGTAAATGTCAGAAACCATGCAGAATCTATTTCTAAAATGATTTTGTGTTTAATTGAGGACCTGAAGATGCATAAATTAAAAGTAGAAAAATCTCACCTCCTGGCCATGTCGTTCTCGTAGTCGCCGAGCTGCCTCATGCCGCCACAGTTTCAGACACACTATGGCCCCAACCAAGTACACGATCATGGTGAAAAACAGGAAGATTATCGCAGCTGTCTGTCCTGCTTCGGTGCGGCAGAAAGCACCATTGATGCCATTATTGAAGACCGGATAGTAACAAAGTCCGCCTCGTAAGGTGTCATTCACATATACACAGCCGGCCGCCAAAAACAGAAGTGCAAGAGCAAGGTTTATGACGAACTCTGTTAAAGGCCACCAACTTGAGTCTAGAAGTATAGTCTGATAGTACATGGTCATTCCCAAGACAAGCATGATAATGGTCACGATCCATGCCAATCCTGCTACCACCAAGATGAACGGTGTCTTTGGTCCAGAGTAGTTGGCATTGCCATAACCGCTTCCATAAGAGCCTCCATAACCTCCGTAACCTCCTCCATAGAAGCCACCAGGCTGCGAGTAACCAAACGTGTTATACCACTCATTGTCTTTATGAATATATGCACATACACAAGCAAAAATGGCTGCCCCCAAAAGCAGCTCGACGCACCCGAGAATACGTAAAAGTCCAGCCCAAGACTTCATGTATGCGTAACGCTGGTTGTACTCCTCTACCTTTTCGCTGTAAGTCAAAGCTGTGTGCGCAGTGCGGCCGTCGATTGATTCAACGGGATTTCCTAAAAGCATTGCTTCACGCTCTTTACGGGAGTTATAGCTGCCTCCGGATCCACCGTACGGGTCGCGGTAAGAGCCAGGAACCGATGGGGAGTGTGGCGGAGAACAGCGAACGCCGTCAGTCGTCGTGTTTTTGCTGCTTGATCCCAACATCGACTTCAACTTGCTGCTTCCACTGCTGGACCTGAACAAGTTTTTCCATGAGTCTGGGATGAAACGGTGGACGGGTTTGATGTCAATGGCAGAGTCCCCGTTGTCCTCGCTGCCACTGGGGTCAAACTCAGGGCCTATTGGTGGTTGGTCTGGCAGAGGAGGTGGCGGAAAAGGTTCGGAGTATAAAGAATCGGCCCTGTGCTCAACCAAGCTGTGAAGACTGGCGAGCGAGCCTGCTGGGGCATCGTTGTAGTGGTGCATGTTTCAGAGACAATGCTGAAAGGAATTTCCTCCAGGGAACGCAGTTATCCCTAGAGCAACATGAAGAAATCAGGTATAAGATGAAAGGCACTGATATTAGCTCTTGCAGAGTAGCAGTTCTCAACTGGTAGCTTGTGACCAATTATGTTAATGGGATTTACATGTGTGTATTTAGCAGCAACATGAAAAGATAAACAAAAGCACACTAGGGCTGTGTACGAAATCACCTACTACTCGAGTAGGTACTACATCTGAATCTACTACACGACCATTAGAAAAGGGTGTCCTATACAGTATGAATGTGAGTAGTATGAATAGAACTCGGATGTACTACATCCGCAATTTGTCATTATCACGTGACCTACCCGCATCAGTTTCATCCAACCCGGGCTCATTGTGGAATCGTAGTTCCACGGACGTTTCTGGAGACCGCGGAATACGTCCCGGCGGGTACGTACAGCTGCAGTTTTTGCGATTCCGCGAGAGGCCGCTGTTGTGCACTTTTTCGCATCTCAAACACCTCTCGCGAGTGCGGTTCGCGCCCACGCTGTTCTCGCGTTGACCCACCAGAGGCCGCTGTCCGACTGACCGGATGATTGACTGCGCGACCGGACAATCGGCTGACCCGCCCTCCTACTTCCCTGAACCCAACCAATTTTACCAATTGTCCTGCCTGCCCGCTCACTTCCCTAAAATCGAGCAACAGTTTACAAAAAGCCGTACAAAAAAATAAAAGCCCTGATTTTTTTTTCTACCGCGTTTTCGGATTTCACTGCATTCTCACCCTGTTACGAAACTCGTTCACTTAATTTTTGGGATTCTGTTTTTGTCTTACCTGATTGCTGGAACCGCTCTTCCCCACACTCGAAACCGATAGCCGTGGTCAACTCCTCTTTGCATCTCGAGCCTGCCGACGTACACGGTGAGCTGAGTGGACAAACAGGTTGCAGCGGGGAAGCCCTCCACAAGGAGGTAAGCGGTCGGCCGGCCGGCAAGCGCGATAGGGTACAGCGTCACACCGCCCCTTAGCGCTCGCTTGAAAAAAATAAACGCGGCCGTACGTACCTGCCGGGACGTATTTCGCTGTCTCCAGAAACGTCCGCGGGACTACGTTTTCAGAATGAGCTTGGGTTGGTTTCATCGCTTTATTCCTGCTCCTGAATTCTTTAGAGTGGCATCATGGGATAGCGTAGCGCACATCGGATGCACACTTCGGAATCTCACCGGTAGTAGTAGGTCAACCGGGTACTTCCAGTATACTATTTTTCCAGTTCTTTGAACTCGGACATACTACTTGGCTCGAATACTATTTTTATCATAGGTGTATTCCCAAAAACATTAAGGCCAAAGGGCCACTTTTTGTGTCCACACCAGTAAATGATAACAATCTGTTTATTGTTAGTTAATGACTTTTAACCAGCAGATGTCCTGAGTGTGCTACAATTTAAGCGTATCTGACCAGTGAATCCAGCTCGTGTAATCTATATAAGCTAGGGGTGTGACGAGACGCCTACTCTCTATCCTACGCACAAAAGAAATGTGTTTATCGTTATCATTCTTGGTGTGAATGGCGCTCAATAATAATTTTTTAATTGTCCATATAATTGTACATAAGACAACTTTTGTAAGTTTTTAGTTTTCCTTTTGTTTTTAAACCTCTTCTGCGGTTAATCAGTGAATGCATTTTAGTTTTTGTGTTTTGTTTATTTTTTGCAAGGTTACTTAGGGGAGAGCGGGGCACAAAGTAACACTTTTTGGTTTTGGCCAAATAATGAACAAATTAATAGGGTTAGACAAACCATTTGTTTTTTAACAACAACACACAAGCCTCTCCTACAAATCAGCACTGGTTATATGATCGCCGGACTCATGGTTTCTGTGCAGTGTTACCAAAAGTGCCAGGAGTAGAATTGCTACTATGTACCCCACCTGCGGGCCAAGTTGTAGCACATCCTTTAGTTAAAAAGCCAGATTTCACACAATTAATTTAAATCCAGTTTACTTTAAATAATAGTATATTTCCTCAGTACTTAGCTCAATTAAATTTTTATTCTACATTGCACAGCATGTTTATTTATTTATTTGTTGGATAAAGACATTTGGATTATTATCTATTATTAGATAATGCACTTATTTGTACTATTAGCAATTATATATATATTTGTCTATTAAAAACATTTTATTGAAAAAAAAATGAAAACATTACACTCAAAATTCAACCATTATTTTGATGGTTTAATTGGTGTCTAACAGTGTGTGGCTTAAATGTAACACCCTGTTACAACTAACCCCACAGTGTCGTGTTTTCCTCAAAACTGGCTAGCAGTCACTGTGTGTTTACATCTTTCGAAATGATTTCATCTTTCAGCCAAGAAGACTGTGAACAGAACATATACAAATGTTGACTATAATAAAAAAATACAGTGTCTCTCATGCAAATTTTGCCAAACTTTTTCAATAATTAGCAGGAAGACGTCTGTGGTGAAAACCTCGGAAGCATGCCATGGTGAACCCTGAGCAAATACCTAAAAATTCCATGTTACATTTTACCCCGCGCCCCCCTACTCTTCATTTCTAGCTGAAATGTACATAAACTATAATTTAGCTTTAGGTCATCTGTTGATGTCCAATATAAAATCTCTGTTCTGAATCAAAACCAGTTGAGAACCACTATAGTGTACATTGGACTATGTAAACATTCCAGTTGCATAGTAAGCAAAATTGTCGACAGAAAAACACCTCTCCAAGTGAAAGAGTGCAGGAAAAAGCTGAAGCACTGTTATATCAGGAAATTCAACCCACATTTCCAAAGCAGATAAGATCCATTAACACCAATAATCATCATTTGGTATACCAGAAAGAGCTACAAGAAACATGTCTGGAGAGCAGCTGTGTCTTAAAGAGATAAACAAGTGAACTAGCTGAACTGTAAGTATATACTGTGTATATACATGTGAAATTTCTAAGTAAAAATGTAAAGTTAGTAGGTCATCTTTTGCAATAGTAAACCATTCAGATGAAAAACTGGAACAGCTACGTGGAACAGTGGCCAATTATACTCTTTAGCATAATTATACAGAAGTATTTGACCACGTAATGTTGTGGTTAACAAAGCAATACAAGTACAAGTGTGATAAATGTTTATTTCAATCTACAGTATGCAGAGTAGGGCTGGGCGATATGACAAAAATCTCATCTCATATCCTGCTAACTATATATATATATCATATTATAGTGCCATTTCTGTCAATTGATAGTTTACATAGCCGGGCACTTTATTAGGTACACCTATCCAACTGCTCGTTGATGCAAATTTCTAAGCAGCCAATCACATGGCAGCAACTCAATGCATTTAGGGATGTAGACATGGTCAAGACGATCTGCTGCAGTTCAAACCGAGCATCAGAATGGGGAAGAAAGGGGATTTAAGTGACTTTAAATGTGGCATGGTTGTTGGTGCCAGACGGGCTGCTCTGAGTATTTCAGAAACTGCTGATCTACTGGGATTTTCACACACAACCATCTCTAGGGTTTACAGAGAATGATCTGAAAAGGAGAAAATATCCAGTGAGCGGCAGTTCTGTGGCTGCAAACGCCTTGTTGATGTCAGAGGTCAGAGGAGAATGGCCAGACTGGTTCCAGCTGATAGAAAGGCAACAGTAACTCAAATAACCACTCGATACAACCGAGCTCTGCAGAAGAGCATCTCTGAACACACAAGACATCCAACCTTGAGGTGGATGGGCAACAGCAGCAGAAGACCACACCGGGTGCCGCTCCTGTCAGCTAAGAACAGGAAACTGAGGCTACAATTCACACAGGCTCACCAAAACTGGACAATAGAAGATTGGAGAAACGTTGCCTGCTCTGATGAGTCTCCATTTCTGCTGACACATTCAGATGGTCAGGTCAGAATTTGGCATCAATAACATGAAAGCATGGATCCATCCTGCGTTGTATCAACGGTTCAGGTTGGTGGTGTTGGTGTAATGGTGTGGGGGAGATTTTCTTGGCACACTTTGAGCTCATTAGTATCAATTGAGCATTGTGTCGACACCACAGCCTACCTGAGTATTGTTGCTGACCATGTCCATCCCTTTATGACCACAGTGTCTCCATCTTCTAATGGCTACTTCCAGCAGGATAACACACCATGTCATAAAGCGTGAATCATCTCAGACTGGTTTCTTGAACATGACGATGAGTTCACTATGCTCAAATTCCATCCAGTCACCAGATCTCAATCCAATAGAGCACCTTTGGGATGTGGTGGAACGGGAGATTGGCATTATGGATGTGCAGCCGACAAATTTGCAGCAACTGCATGATGCTATCATGTCAATATGGAGCAAAATCTCTGAGGAATATTTCCAGTATCTTGTTAAATCTGTGCGATGAAGGATTAAGGCAGTTCTGAAGGCAAAAGAGGGTCCAACCAGGTACTAGTATGGTGTACCTAATAAAGTGGCCGGTAAGTGTATAAAGACCATATAAAAATACTTTTATTTTAATATATTTGAAAGTATACACTACATAATGTACCCATGTGTACTCGTATTTCTCACTTTATTTAGAACTAAAAGGTAAAAGGCTTTTCCAAGTGACATGATTACAGGTCCAACATAAAAATATTACTAAATAAATTGCAAAATGTAAACATTTTACACTCTAGATTGCAAATTTAACATATTGCTGTTATTTATGCTTCTGTCTGTATTTCTGTAATTGTGTTTAATATTGCCCTTAGTTTAACTCTGCACTTACCAAAATTATAAAATAGTATTAGCGTAAACCAGGGGTCACCAATCTCGGTCCTGGAGGGCCGGTGTCCCTGCAGGGTTTAGCTCCAACTTGCTTCAATGCACCTGCCTGGATGTTTCAAGTATACCTAGTAAGACCCTGATTAGCTTGTTCAGGTGTGTTTGATTAGGGTTGGAGCTAAAATCTGCAGGACACCAGCCCTCCGGGTGACCACTGGCGTAAACAATGTGTTTGGTGACACCCTGAAATAAACGACAGAGCATAATTTAAAACGACAGACTATCCGCTTGTTAAGTGGTGACGAGTTTGTGACGTATGTAATACTGTTTCCGGGTCCAAGCCGCCACTCATTTGAGTGGAGAAATCATTCATTTACGATCACGTTTTATTCCTATCACACATTAAAGTTAATTTCATATGAAATCATAGTGTACACAACAATCTCTGGGCTTGCTGCATAACAAATACCAAAAATGTAACAATTTATAAAAAAATTAATCACTTTCTGGCCATCGGATATTAGGGATGGACATATATACTGCGATCGTGATTTTCGAAAGCATTAAATCGCTTTGTAAACGTTTATTATTACCATTACCATGAGTCTCCCCATTCAGTTGAATAGAGCGCTTGGACCCGGAAGCCGCTTCGCGTGACGTCACACTTAACAAGCAGATACTTACTGCATAAGATATGCAGTTGAAGTCAGAACTATAAGTCCCCCTGAATATTTTCCCCAATTTCTGTTTAATGGAGAGATTTTTTCAACACATTTCTAAACAGTTTTAATAAATCTTTTCTAATAACTGATTTATTTTATCTTTGCCATGATGACAGCACATCATATTTGACTAGATATTTTTCAAAATACTATTATTCAGCCTAAAGTGACATTTAAAGGCTTAACTAGGTTAATTAGGCAAGTTAAAGTAATTAGGCAAGTCATGGTATTACAGTAGTTTGCTCTGTAGAGCAGGGGTCCCTGCAGGGTTTAGCTCCAACTTGCCTCAACACACCTGTCTGGATGTTTCAAGTATACCTAGGCTGTTTCCCAATATGCGTTCTTCAGCGGTCTTCTTGTGTTCTCGTGTAACGTCATCATCAGCTGCCTAAGTTCAGTTCCAATACTAAAGACCGCAAGTACAGAGGACGCATGAAACTTCCCGGATGTGATCTTGATATCGAGGACGCACTGATGCAGACTTGAGCAGCGAACTCGCTCTGGAAGTCCCAGAAGTCATTGCGACTGGAGGTGGGAAGCGCAGCATTTTATTTAAATTTATTATTAACGTTCAGAGATATCACTTATTTACCTAAGGAGCTTCCCTAAATGAAACGGTGAATATAAACATTAACATGAATATCTTAATAAAGGAATAAACACATTAAGGGTGTTTGTTTGCTGAAATTCGTATAAAAATCAGTTTTATTTATATTGTGCAGAGTATATTTATTATGTTTTAATGCAAAGTATATATTTTGAAGAGGGGGGAAACAATAATTCGTTGTATGAAGGCTGTAATGTTTAAATAATTTACTATTTAAAACGCGTGAAGATGACATGACCATCAGGAAGAATGCAGCATCCCATTTCTCAAAGGACGCGTTCTCTGCCCTCGCGGTCTCCTGAGTTCGTTCTTCCGAGGACACCTGGCAAGACCGGTGTCCAAAAGAACTCAAGTCCGTTCCTTGATTAGCTTGTTCAGGTGTGTTTGATTAGGGTTGGAGCTAAAATCTGCAGGACACCGGCCCTCCAGGAACAAGTTTGGTGACCACTGCTGTAGACTATCAAAATGAATATAGCTTAAGGTGGCTAATAATATTGACCTTAATTAATTTATTTATTTTATTAAAAACTAGCCAAAATAAAACAAATAAAATTTTCTCCAGAAGAAAAAATATTACAGGAAATACTGGGAAAAGTTCCTTTCTCTGTTAAACATAATTTGGGAAATATTTTAAAAAGAAAACAAAATTCACAGGAGGGCGAATAATTCTGACTTCAACTGAATATTGCTATATTTCACAGCCCTAATGTAAAACACACTTTCTCTGGACACAGGTGCTCTCCATTTCAGGCGCTCCGACTCTGTAACTTGAACATAGAGACGATTGTAACAGTAACCTGTCATCCGCTAGCAAGAGCTCTAACTCTAAACCCACAGAGGAGACGACTGCAACCCAAACATTTACGACACAGACAGAAAGAGAGGCGAACATGCCTGTTCAAGCACTAGATGTCTGATTGGGTAATCATACACTACTGCTCAACTCTGCATCAACAGCAGAAAATAAGAAAAACAACAATCTCCATTGTTACGCTCTTCCTTAAGCATACAGTAGGTTACCTAATGAAAGAGAAAAGAGCAATTCCAGCGTTATGGATGTGACATTTGAAGTAGAAACTCAAAATATAAATTCACAGAGAAAGTATATGTTAACATTATATTAAAACATCTGATTATATTTTCCAAAACTACACTATCTGACGAAAGCCCAGTCGTAAGAGCAACAAATAATAACTTGACAATTAGTAGATTATTTGGAAAAGTGGCAGAAGGTCGAATTTTTCTGTGAATCATCTGCTGAGCTGCATCCCAATCATCACAAATACTGCAGAAGACCTACTGGAACCAGCATGGACCCAAGATTCTCATGGAAATCAGTCAAGTTTGGTGAAGGAAAACTCATGGTTTGGGGTTACATTCAGTATGGGGGTGTGCGAGAGATCTGCAGAGTGATCAACATCAACAGCCTGAGGCATCAAGACATTTGTGCTGCCCATTACATTACAAACCACAGGAGAGGGTGCTCCAGGATTGGTCAGCCCAGTCACCAGATATGAACATTATTGAGCATGTTTGGTGTAAGATGAAGGAGGAGGCATTGAAGATGAATCCAAAGGATCTTGATGAACTCTGGGAGTCCTGCAGGAACGCTTTCATTGCCATTCCAGATTACTTCATTAATCAGTGATTTGAGTCAGTGCAGAGATGTATGGATGCAGTCCTCCAAGCTCATGATGGAGTCAGACACAATATTCATTCTGTCTCCACTGCAGCAGGACTTCATATTCTATACTGGATATTATTTCTGTTCAGTGATGAGACTTTTGTCTAAGCAGAGTCAGACCTTACTGTCCTATTGAAATCATTCAAAATCAAGACATGATCATATTTTATTCTGGTAAAATAAGCGCAATCTAGAGGCCTTTGCCTTTTATATAAGCCACTTCTGATACCAAATAATCAACTAGAAGTCATGTTACTATTTGTTGTTCCTAAAACTTGGATAGTGTACTAACCACAGAGTTATAGGATCAGAAATATATAAATCTGTAAACATTTTTTATATTGTAAATGAGGGAAATAAACATGCATTATAGACGTGACAAAAAAGTTTGCGAGTTTACAGTATACTACATACTTTGTAGAAAATCAGTGGATTAAACTGCACATACTAAACAATGCTAATCAAAAGGATGAGAGTTGGCTCGCTACAGAACAAAAATTATTGATTTGATTTTAGCTTACATATATGAGGAATAATCTTGGTTATGGATGTGACATACAGTATGTGAAATTGACGGTTGTATGACTTTGGTAAATCAAATATAATAGGGTATATGCCGAAGCATGCTAATGGGACTTTTAATTTGCCAGTAACCTGGGTTAAGCGCTTCCGGCGAACTGTATGCAATGGAAAAAATGGCGCGTTTAAGGTCTGTTTTCTTTCAAAATCAGCGATCTCCATTAGCTGAGTGATATCCAATATAAATTGGGTCTCAGATTGTACAAGAAGCACTGAATTAAATTACCTTTTCCCCCGCCGTGTCTTTGTAATATGAGCATTTATTTTACCTTAGTATATTCAATGGAGCTTCTGCTCTAACCTGCCGATTCTGACGGGCGCGTGTGAGTAAACGACGTTTCTGTCTTGTTTTACGCTTGAGCAACTAAATTAATGCCAGAGTTTATTTAACTGAATGTATTTTAACTACAATACAAAGTCGATGCTGTAAAAGGAACCGTATAAAATGGAAAAAAATTCACAAAAACAGGTCACCGGAAGTGTATCAGCATGGGAAAAACACTAGCTCAGCATATACCCCATTGTCTGAAACGTTAACAGAGACATTTTTTGAGTATTTTTACAGTACTGTAAAATACAGGCTTACACAAAACCTAGAAAGGGTTTCACTATTTTGGTTAAAAAAAAAAAAGTATGGCCAGGTTGATATTTGCATGGTATTGCTCAAACGTATAATACACATTACAAATTAAATAAAAAAAAACAGGACAGTTCTATTGAATACCTTTCACAAGCGGTGACTGGGCAAGACTTACATTGGTCTTGAGTTCAGTGTGTAAAACTTCATCGGATGTATGAAAATCCCAAGGACTGAAAGACAAAAACAAGAAGAGAACAAAGGTAATACACTAATAAAAGATATTACCCAAGTTATATATAAGTGTGGCGACGCAGTGGCGCAGTAGGTAGCACTGTCGCCTCACAGCAAGGTTGCTGGTTCAAGCCTGAGCTGGGTCAGTTGGCGTTTCTGTGTGGAGTTTGCAAGCTCTCCCTGTGTTCGTGTGGGTTTCCTCCGAGTGCTCCGGTTTCCCCCACAGTCCAAAGACATGCGGTACAGGTAAATTGGCCATAGTGTATGAGTGTGGGCATGAGTGTGTATGGGTTTCCCAGTGCGGTTGGAAGGGCATCCACTGTGTAAAATATATGCTGGAAAAGTTGGTGGTTCATTCCGCTGTGGAGACCCCAGATTATTAAAGGGACTAAGCCGAAAAGAAAATGAATGAATGTATTAATGTAAGCAATCAGCACATTCATACTACACTGTAGAATATTTCTGTTAAAAACAGTTTCTGTAGTTTTGCGATTCACAAGTGTTTCCGTTTATTTACGGTTGTGAATTGCATTATGGGATGTAGTGTTGTCACGATACTAGAATTCAATACCAATTGGTACTGGAATTTTTAAAAAAAGGTCCATTTCCCTCGAACATTTGAGCGCTGTTGAGCCCATTCTTAAACAGCGCTGATTTGCCATGAAGGTCAGCTGGTCTGTATATGAGTTCACATACGAGTGATCGGTTGATGAATTGACTATTCTTCACGACTTTAAAGCGCTCCATTGTGCCTGTATCAGTAGTTACGCTTAGTAAACAGGGGTAAGTTCGGTGAACATATGCTGGAATAGTTGGCGGTTCATTGCACTTGGGCAACCCCTGATAAATAAGGAACTAAGCCGAAGGAAAATTCAATGATGAATAATTACATTACCTAAGTTATATTTTAATAAAACCAATAAACACATTCATCCTTAAACAATAAGCAAACACTTAAAAAAAGAATGTCATGTGTTTAATATTTAAAAAACATACATATGCTAATTGTTAAGACTTTGCTGTGTGTATACATTATATATTTATGGCATGTAAATAGCCTATTTTAGTACATAGTATTGTGCATTTCTGGCATCAATTCAACAATGTAGCCTAGCTAATTACCAATAGTGAATAGCATAACATGTTATTGACATTTATAAACATATAATGAACACATTGCTAACCTGAAAGAATGTTACACTGCGCTTCGCGCGCTTCAGAAAAACGTCGACAGGTCAGCGAAGTTTACATGGTTGTTATTCAGCAAAAATGATGAGTATATTCACTCGATGTCTGCTTTATTGAAGTCATAGTTAAAATATGAAGCATGAACAAAACGTTTAGTACGGTGGAACTAAACAACATGAGCACAACAGCACTGACAGATGTGTTTATAATAAAACAATAACCGTCGCGTCTTTAAACGTCGGTTATTTGTGAATACAGAAGGATATTGTAGGTAAAGACTAAAAAATGAACTTTAAAGTTGGTTTCGTCTTACCTTTCCCACTATCAAAGGGGTTTTTGTTTCTCTATATGTTTTTTTCGGGAAACACACAGGTTTGGAAAGTTGTACCACGTGACGCAGCCTATCCCTGCGCGTGACGTCAGCAGAGACTTGAAGACTTCACCTGAAGAGGGAGATGAAACTTTGACCTGCTCTCTTCATTTCTTTCCTATAAACTTACATTCTATAATGACGACAGTGACTGAAACCAGCGGCTTATGTCATGTCGAAAGTGTGCAGACTCACTGGTGACATTATTTGCATGATCTTTATCACTGGCAGGATATAATGGAAACATACTATGCATAATATAGGCTACATAATAGAATAGTACAGTCATTTATAGAAATGTAGGCATTAGTAACAGTGACTAATGGGACTTATGATAATAATAATAAGATATATTGATATTTTATAAACATTTTTAATAAGCCGTCACGTGATTCAGTTCAGGAAGAGGTTTTGGTTCCTCTTCATTATTATTGCAAGATGTAATAATTCATAGTCAAAGCAGAAGGTGGACATGGGGAGTGTCATGTCCTGTATGTGGTTCCCTATGCTGGCTTTGAAAGTATAATTATTAAAAACTACACCCAGGGGCCACTTTATTAGGTACACCTGACTAGTATTGATTTGGACCCCCTTTTGCCTTCAAAACTGCCTTAATCTTTCTTGGCATAGATTCAACACGGTACTGGAAATATTCCTCAGAGATTTTGGTCCATATTGACATGATAGCATCACACAGTTGATGCAGATTTGTTGAAGAAATTCCTGTTACACCACATCTCAAAAGTGCTCTATTGGATTGAGCTCTGGTGACTGTGGAGGCCATTTGAGTACAGTGAACTCATTGTCATGTTCAAGAAACCAGTCTGAGATGATTCGCGCTTTATGACATGGTGTGTTATCCTGCTGGAAGTAGCCATCAGAAGATGGAGACACTGTGGTCATAAAGGGATGGACATGGTCAGCAACAATACTAAGGTGGGCCGTGGCACTGACACGATGCTCAATTGGTACTAATTGGGCCCAAAGTGGGCCAAGAAAATATCCCCCATACCATTACACCACCACTACCAGCCTGAACCATTGATACAAGACAGAATGGATCCATGCTTTCATGTTGTTGATGCCAAATTCTGACCCGACCATCTGAATGTGTCAGCAGAAATCAAGATTTATCAGAGCAGGCAACGTTTCTCCAATCTTCTATTGTCCAGTTTTGGTGAGTCTGTGTGAATTGTAGCCTCAGTTTCCTGTTCTTAGGTGACAGGAGCGGCACCCGGTGTGGTCTTCTGCTGCTGTAGCCCATCTGCCTCAAGGTTGGACGTGTTGTGTGTTCAGAGATGCTCTTCTGCAGACCTCGGTTATATCGAGTGGTTATTTGAGTTACTGTTGTCTTTCTATCAGCTGGAACCAGTCTGGCCATTCTCCTCTGACCTCTGGCATCAACAAGGCATTTGCGCCCACAGAACTGCCACTAACTGGATATTTTCTCCTTTTCAGATCATTCTCTGTAAACCCTAGAGAGGGTTGTGCGTGAAAATCCCAGTAGATCAGCAGTTTCTGAAATACTCAGAGCAGCCCGTCTGGCACCAACAACAATGCCACATTTAAAGTCACTTAAATCACGTTTCTTCCTCATTCTGATGCTCGGTTTGAACTGCAGCAGATCCTTAATGCCATTTCTGAGTGGAGTTTGCATGTTCTCCTCATGTTGGTGTGGGTTTCCTTCGGGTGCTCCGGTTTCCCCCACAGTCCAAACACATGCGAGATAGGTGAATTGGATCAACTAAATTGGCCGTAGTGTTTGTGTGCGAATGTGAATGAGAGTGTATGGGTTGTAGGGAATAGTTGGCGGTTCATTCCACTGTGGCGACCTCTAAAATAGAGACTAAGCCAAAGCAAAATAAATTAAATCGATGAACAGACATGCATGTAGAGAAACAATTACTGCAGTCAGTACCTGTTTTAAAGGGCTCCAATTTTGCCTATTTTACTAGATGTAAAATAAGTTTTTTTGTCTCCTGTGAAGTTTCAGCTCACCATACCTACTCACATTTCTGTCCCAACAGCCTCCAGAAGTTGATTTTGCATGATAGGTGCCCTTTAAAATAATGATAGCATTGTGCAGATGTAAACAAACTATTTTACTACTAGGCTTGTGGCAATAATCAATATATCGACTTATCACTTAATGCATGACCTCCATATTTGGTGAGGTGCAAAATGAATCGGCCATTTTTACATAAAAATGAATGTCAGCAACATTTGATCTGATCTGCAGCCTCTGTCATCTCATCTAACCTCTGCTGGAGATGTCAGCGAGCTCAACTGATGAAAAGGTGACTTTTCACATTTTCATGAAAACTACTGACGGTTCGGAAGACGCTGTTCAGTTGAGCTCTGATTCAAAGCTGCAGTCCATCTCCAGAAAAAGACACGGTGCAAAAATGTCTCAGGCCGGTAGCCAGAGGGGGGGGGGGGGGGTCTAGAATGTGTCCCATAAATGAGCTAATTTGTCCTATTTTGACAGCTACACCATCATAAATTGTGAAAATAACCCATCGAAAAAGGCTTTATACGACCAAGCCAAATTCTCTGTTGACCGTCACATTGGTGTGACTTCAGCTAGTTTTGGCCAATGAAAACTATTATTTTTCATGAGTTCAACATGAGGAAAACATACAATCTGATGTAAGTGAAGTCTTCTTTCGCTACCATATAAAAAAAAAAAGAAAACATTTTACAAGTAACTTTGATTCTAAATCTTAGACCTTACTGAAACAACAAATGACAGATCAAAAGGTGTGAAGCACCAAAATCGGACCATATTAAAATGAATTTGAATGCTAATGTGCTTTTATTCTTTCCATAATAGAAACATATATTTGTAGAGCAAATCATGTTCTGTTGTCATTAATGTTTTAATAAACTATGATAGGTAGAACTGGCCGAGATATGATTGTTACCCATGAATTTCCAATCTAATGTACTTTTTATTTTATAATAGAGGCTTGAAAATTTTAATTGTGAAGCTCTTTTATTATTATTATTGTTTTAATTTTTTATTATTCAAATAGCCAAATTCTGACTGAGAAAAGTTAAATATGCTGGCCAGCTTGTTTGCCTAATAAATGACAATAGCTTACAGTTTTTAATTTAAACTTTAACAGATTCATACATTTTTTCATAATGATATATGATGTCATACATTTGTGTATTTTTTTAAAAAAGGATTTTTTTTTTCATATTTCTTTATTCTAAATCATTAGGAAATATTTTTGGTACATCAAAAGTGTGGTTATGATGACCATCAAGCTAATCCAGCTAAAAATAGTGCTTAAAATGTCACTAATGCAGTATTTAAACCTCATAATTAAATAGTAAAGGAGGTGAATAACTGCAAAAAGCTCCACATTTTGAGAAAAAAAGAACCACCCCTTTCACCAGGCTGGCTGCGAGCCTGCACATTCACAAATTTAAAGCCATTATATGAGGATATTCATTCCCTCAAAAATTTTTCATCAGTTTTTGAGATCAAAAAACATTTTTTACGCTTGTTTTGTGTATTTTCACAGCAAAAAAACTAAAGCAAATAATGTCATATTTTTGAGAAAAGCCATCACAAAATCAGCAATTTAGGACACAAAAATACCTATAACCATTAGTCAACATTTGACATCAAAACCTCTCATCAAAATTGTCCAAAAATTATTAAAAGACATCAATTTTTTTTGTCTTAGGACAATTTTGGAAAACTTTTTTGATCACATATATATATATATATATATATGTATTGTCACTATAAAGAAGTATAGATGTTGTTGGACTTTATCATCTTCATCAAGACTTTCCCATCAAAACTATCGAAATAACCTCAAGGATGAAAAGATTTTGTCCTTTGAAAGTCTTTATGCATATTTATATTATTATACAGGTGTATAACTTAATCATTAAAAATTTAGTGCATGAAAGGACAATAAAAATGACAATAATATCAATTATAGCAATAGTTGCTGTGATGATATATCACAACAAAACTTACATACTGTGACAGGCCTATTCAGTCATTCATTTTCCTTCAGCTTAGTAACCCAGTACTGGGAAACACCCATACACACTCATTCATTATGGCTCACTCAATTCACCTATACTGCATGTGTTTGGACTGTGGGGGAAACTGGAGCACCCGGAGGAAATCCACGTGAATGTAGGGAGAACATGCAAACTCCACACAGAAATGCCAACTGACCCAGCCAGGACTCGAACCAGCGAGCTTCTTGCTGTGAGGTGATCGTGTAACCACTTCGCCACCGTGATGCCCTATATTATTATATTATATTATATTATATTATATTATATTATATTATATTATATTATATTATATTATATTATATTATATTATAACTGCTCAAAAAATAAAGAGAACACATGGATTTAGCCTACATTGTGTCGTATAAGTGTTCCTTTTTATATTATACTAGCCTACATCATACATTAATACAGTAAATTGTACAATATAGATTAATACAATATTATACATTGAGAAACTGTGGTAAACTTACATAGTTCACAGTAAAACCAACAAACAAACAAAAAATAGTGCACGTCTCCTTTAAGCAGTGAGTCTGGCACCGGTTGGAAATGGTCGCTCGCGCAGGCGACTGGAATTTACTGAGGAAAAAGAAAACATTAGCCAGATGCTAACAGTGAAATACAGATTTCGTCTGAAAACAACAAACGGAGACGACGGGACAATGACACATGTTAAGGTAGCGAACAAAGCGGAACGACATCGTAAAAATAACATTACGATTATCTGCTGTATTTGTATTTGTGATCAGACGCTAACAGCTAGCTGGCTAGCAGATTGCTAATGATAACAAACAGCTAATACAAGTTAAATCAACACATTGCTTGTTTATTTGTGCTTGTATATGGTTGATGTTAGGAATGCTTTATCTTTGTGTTTAAACAGTTTGAGTGGTGTGCTTTTTGCTAGGACGAGAGTGCTGTGGGCTGTTAAATTATATTCATATGGGTAGTTAATGATCATTCGTCCTAACTGAATTATAATAATATTATTTTTTAGAATAGTCAAGGCAAATAAGCTCTTGAGTTAAGGTTATCCAGTCAATGTATGTCAATAATTAGCAGCTTTTTCGCAACATCCGTTCTTATCATAGCTCATGACAGATGAATCAGCTCATATGCTGTCTATTATTATTTCAGTGTTTCTGTATTCGTAAATTGTCGTTCATATTGTTGTTGTTTTTTGCCATGATTTGCACTGGAAACACTGAATTCACACTTCCACTTTTCACTTCAGTAAATGAGAAAAAAACATACAGTAAAAGTCTCTGAAAGAGTTTCTGTTACGTCAGATTTTAAAAGTAATCAGTGATATTTGGGATGTAGATGATTCGATGTTTGTCATTATAGCCTACATATTTTTACAAAGTTAGTTAAAAAATAAATGTTTATATATTTTTATTTATATTTGGACACAAATGTCAGTCATATAGCGCAAAATGGCAAACATTCACAAATAACATTAAAGTCATTTTACAAGGATATTCACTCTTTCAAGGATTTTCAAATAGTTATTAAGGTGAAAAAACACTTTTTTTTAGCGCTTTTCATAGCAAAACACCCAAATTGAAGCAAGTAAAGTCATACGTTTTGAGAACAGCCATCACAAAATTAAGATTTGAGGCATTTATTTTCATTGTTAAGGCACGTCAATTTTTTTTAAATGAGGTAAAGTGTTTTATATTCTCACATTGGTTCATTTTTGAGTAGTGACAACTTGTGATTAGGTATGGGCCGGTATAAAGCAGGTCGCACACCAGAAGCGCCGCTCGGCGGCGCGCCGCGCAGCGCCACGCAGCGCCATGTATTTTAGAATTCTAAACATAGGTTTCTATCAGGATACACACACCGGCGCCGCAAGTCGGCGGCTGTCGGCGGCGCCCGGCGACGGCTCAGGACGCAGTTCATTTTTCAGCCGCGCCACAGAGCGCCATCTGATTAGTTTCATGTTAAATATCATTCGAATGTGCGCGTCTGGTGTGCGATACTTTAATCTGTCATGTACGCGCCGTGTCGCGGCGCCGAGCGGCGCTTCTGGTGTGCGGAGAAGGGTAATCCTGCACAACTGGAGTGGCTGCACTCTCAGGACCGCATTTTTAGGACCGCATCTTTAGGACCCTAGTTTTTTGTGACAGCGTTACCTGTCGGATTGGATCATGGATGCGCTAATGGACGACACGGATGACAAGGAAAGTGTAAGTACCGATTTTTCTATTAAGTTTTATTTTAAACTGTTAAAGTATGTGTTTATTTTGTAATGCTGCTGTTTTATACTGTGAGTTTATGCAGAAATGCCAGATTAGCCTGCATGATTTACCCCACTTTTAAGGGTCTGGGACAAAAATGTTACGTGACGATTTTTTTTCCAGAAGAAGAATAAAATATTATAATAATAAATATGGATAATTTTACACAGCCAGAGTGAGAGCTGCTATAACTGTTAATAATTTTCTAGAGTTCGTTTTCTAGTTTGATTATACGTCGTTCGTAACTCGTGACCATGGTTTAATGAAACATTGTTGATTTAATGGCTTGTTGACTTAACGGCTAATGTGCTTAGTGACATGCATTAAACTAAGATGGTAAAAGCACGTTTGATGTAAGAGTTTTAGATTTATCTATATTTTACTGAATTCGTGTTATTCGTTGTATTACATTAGCACATTAAAAATTGTGCTGACTGCCTGTTTGCCCCACAATACTGTATGTGTTATTAGCCTGATGTTTTGTCATCGTTTTACAGTGATGAATGAGATTCTGAAAGTTAGGCTTATTCTGCAGGTCTTAACCATATAGAGTCTCATATCTTTAATTTATATCAGGTATGTTTTACCTGGCGAAAAAGAAGTGATGGCCAATATGATTGGATTGCTTAGGCTCATTGTAGGAGGAAAAGAAAACAAACTACAGGAATATTTTCATTGAGGTTTTCTCAAACTGTTGAGTAACACTTTATAACATCTGCATACTATAAATAAATAATTATTAAGCATTTAATAACTAGTTAATTTATCAATATTTTATTTGTTTAGCATTAACTCTACATTTTATAGACATTGATAAGCAGTTTATAAATACAGTTACAAATGCTAGCTGTGTTCTTGAGTTTATAGCATATCTATGATGAAGTGCAGATTATCTGTGGTGTTCATTTTCCAGAGGAATGTCTGGCCAAATAAGTATATAAACTGCATGCTGGGTGCTACTCATTTATGAATCCATGTAAAATGATTTGCTGTTCTGTGGTGGTATTTTAGTTCATATTTAATGATTTTTTTTTCAAAGGCCATCGTACATCCTCTGGGTGTCTTGAGGAGCTGGTCTTTGGATGATGCTGAGCAGGTCTTTCTTTCTGGTAAAGATTATCATTACAGGTCAGAATATGGTTAATTTTGCACAATGCTCAAAGAGCCTTTTTGTTACTGGTATATATGTTAACTCAACAGTGGATTTGCTTTTTTTAGTGTTTGGACTTTCAGCAGTGAATACTAAACCACACTGAACTGAACTGAATTTAATAAATGTTAAGCTGCTTTGACACAATCTACATTGTAAAAGTGCTTTAGAAATAAAGATAAAATTAATTGAAATTGAATTGAATATTCAACACATTTCCATTTTTCTCAGAAAACATATTTATAAAGGTGCTGTTGACTTGAAATTTTCACCAGATGTTGATAACAATTTGTAAAGTAATTAGATTTGTTTTCTATTCATATATATTTTTTTCTTTGGTTTTCAGGTCAATAGCACCTTTAGAAATATGTTTTCTGAGAAAAATGGGAACTTGTTGAATACTTATTTACCCCAGTGTGTATGTATATATATATGTATGTATGTGTGTGTGTGTGTGTGTGTGTGTGTGTATTTATATGTATGTATTTATGTATGTATATATGTATGTATATGTGTGTATATATATATATACTTGAACTTTCTTCTTCACTCTCATTCACAGGAGCTAAAGTCTACAGCCAGTCTGAATGCAGCAACTGAATAAACAGTGGAGTCATTTTTGTGGTTGAATTGCATTAATAAAAATAAAAGTGTGGATATTTATATAAATGTACATTCTTGAATCTTCCTTGCGTCTTGTCTCTCTAAAACCTTTACAACCTGGTTTTAAATTAGTAACTGCAAATGCTGATCCCATTTGATTTCAATTTATTTTCCTTAATACTGAGCTAATTAGTTCAATGTAATGGGGTTCATCAAAATACAGTATTTTTCAAGGAATTTAAGACTTTTAAGGCACTCAACTCTATTTATTAATTTATATTTTAGGTGTAAATTCATTTGTTTCATTTTAAAATTGTTACTTAAAGCAGGCGTTTTACACTTTAACCTCTGTAATAAAAGTGCCTGAAAGTTTCCGCTATATAATCCAATTCGGTAGGTGGCGCAGTTACAAAACGGGTCCTAGAAATGCAGTTTCACTATGTCATCCAATCCGGTAGGTGGCGCTTTCGCAAAAAACTAGGGTCCTAAAAATGCGGTCCTAAACATGCGGTCCTGAGAGTGCAGCTACTCCAGTTGTGCAGGATCATACTATTGGCAGGATCATACTATTGGGTGTGCGACCTGCTTAAGATTCTGACGGTATGATAGCTTTGGATGAAAATATCACGGTTTTAAGATATTGATTACTGCTCTAAAATCTATTCTTTTCAAATGTCTGGGTAAAAACAAAAACTTTTCTCTCCTTCAAACACTATATATCGGATTTTGAGAAACTTTTAAAGTATTTTGTAGCAGTAAACACGTCAGGCTGAATAATTCTCATGAATCATGCACTTCTGATGTCTTTATTAGGTTCCAAAACACAGAATTTATTACAATTTAAAACGGCATCTTGGATATCTGTTGTCCTAAAAACAAAACATAAAGAAACCTGGCATATACCGTAGAAACGAAATTGCAGAAAATTTTAGCGGTTTTAAAACCTTGACTTTTTCAGACCGCGATATACCTCGAAAACAGTTATCGTCCCATGCCTACTTGTGATATGGTATTGTTCACCACGCTATTTTGAATATTTGGTCTAAAATCGCATGCAAGTATGGCTTCGATACAACTTTAATTCTAATAAATCGACTGTGAACAATGTTGTACTTTGATAGTCATTGGTAGGGCTGCGCAATAGGGCAAAAATGCAATCTCAGTGATAACGATATACATTTCTATATAAGTCGGTGAATCTCAAATATCAACACAATTATACATTCCTGTTGTTGCGTATATCTGCTGTGCCATTGGCTAAGCTTTGATTAGGATCAATATTGAGTAAAAATGTCCAGAGCTTATCATCGTTATATTGGCATAAATTTTATTGCGATTCTTTATAATATAGTTTTTATATTATATATCAACTCATCCCTAGTCATTTGCTGCTAATATGATTTCCCTACTTAGAATTGGCAAAATAATACTTTTATGAAATTATAATATTAATGAGAAGGTTTTATTGTGCGATTATAAAACCAACTTTACCTCAATCATTAGTTTCTCTCCATTTTTTTTATACTCCAATTCACTTTGAAACAGAAATTTTATGATTGGTGAGAAAAAAAAGGTTGTTTTTTAACTTGTGGTTGTTTCCCAACTGCCCCAGTTTTTCTGCAGGGCTAAGTGAGGTGTATCATACCCCCGTCCTAGGATGGACAGTTATTTTAAGGCTGCTGTGTGCGACCTGGACAAGCTTTTGGATGACTTTGAACTCAGTGCAGGTTTGAGACTTTTTGCTGTTCTATTATAGTCTTATAAATATGATTTTGGCACATTTCAATGGGTGAATATTGTAATAAGGAGGACAAATTTATATACGTTCATTCTCCCACATTATCGTAAGTCAGTCTGCCATTGTAATTGCAAAAGTTTTGTAAGATATGTTTTTTAATCATGGTGTCTGCATGGTCTTAAAAAGTCTTAGGGCCCTATCATACACCCGGTGCAATAAGGTACAAGACGAGTGATTTGTTGCAATTTTCAGACCAGGGCAACTGTAATTTTCCAGTTTTGTGCGATGTTGTTTAAATAGCAAATTTATTTGCGCCACTTTGTGGACTCATGGGTGTTCTAGTCTAAAAAGGAGGTGTATTAAGGCGCATTGTTGGTGCGTTGACAAGCTTAAAATAAACCGCACCATTGACCGACTGAAAGCTGGTCTAAAGTCCAGCGTAGAGCGCGGTAGTTATGCGCCTATGCAGGTCCAAACGCTTACACATTGCTTAATACACACAGGATGTACAGCAACACACAAATATCTTTACAGATGAAAACAATTAAAGATTTAAATTTTACAAAATTATTATTTTCTACATAAATATAAAAACCACTACCTTCATGCCTTCACCTCGGTAAAAAAAGTAAAGGAGTAAAGTAAAGAGTAAAAGTAAAGAGGCCGAATGGAGGAGGCTTGTTCTTTATCCTTGTACTGCAGATGGTCTGTTTAACTGTTTTCTTGCTAGTTAAGCATTCAGTTTCTCCACTTACAAAGTTTGCGATGTAAATAGTGAATGTGCCATGGCGTGAGACAACTGACTCTTAAAGGGAATGACAGATGAGACTCTGATTGGGTTAAAGAACGTTATGCTCAAAACACACCCATAACTAGGCCCACACGGAATCTGTGCGTGTAGAATTGCGCCGATTTTTAGCCCATTATTGATTCTATTTATTTACTTGTGTAAATGTGTGCAAATTTATATTTATTCAGTTTTTAAATAAATTTTAGTAATATTATTGACTAATATGAAAATATTTATCTGACTTATTTACAGTACAGTTTGTAAAGTAATATTTTCGGCCTTTTAGTAGAGATATTATATGAGAGACTTTCTTTGTTTACTAAATAAGTGGATCTAATTGGATTTGCATTGTAAACTTTAAATAAAAGTTAAAAAAGGTATTCCTTTTTATTTTATATATTAAGATTTTAGTTATGTTACTCCCAAAATAAATCCGCAGATCTTTAACACAATTATAGCCCTGCCCATAACTCTTTAAGACAGGGGTCACCAATCCTGGTCCTGGAGGGCCGGTGTCCCTGCAGGGTTTAGCTCCAACTTGCTTCAACACACCTGCCTGGATGTTTCAAGTATACCCAGTAAGACCTTGATTAGCTTGTTCAGGTGTGTTTGATTAGGGTTGGAGCTAAAATCTGCAGGACACCGGCCCTCCAGGAACAAGTTTGGTGACCACTGCTTTAAGAGAATAAGCACAACCCTGTTAGACCATCCGCCGAAGTGCAGAGCGTATTTTTTCGTCTTTAAAATAGCCAAAGTGGATTCAGACACACCCTTAATGTGTTTGCGCCATGTGCTGTAGACTTTGCCCCTAAATCGTGAAAATAGATCCCTCAACGTCAAAAATGAAATTAAATCCATTGAAATATTGTGCTGTAGATATTAAATCATTTTAAACAGGTCTTAATCTTTTTTTAGCCAATCACCAACAATCATTCAACAATACTTAAATGTTTTAACTGTTTAAGTGTATGCATGCAACTAGAGTTTGCTTGTTTTGACATATTTAAAATATGTGGCTAAGTAATAACTAAAGTTATTTTTCTTGGAAGGGACAATTGAAAATCTTTCCTCTTGCCATTATTTATAATAAGATTTATAATAATATTATAAAATATTATACATTTTGCCCTGTATAAGGCTGAAATTACATTCATAATTTTCTTGTAAAGGTCTTAAAAAGTCTTGGATTTGACTTGGTGAAACCTACAGACACCCTGTTTAAATTTATGTAGAAAAGTTTATCATATGTTTGTTATATTTTTGTTGCTGCTTTGAAATGTGATCTAATTTAATTTGACTCAAAATAATGCCATTTTTTATGTGATTTTGTTTTTAGAAGAGCTTGAGAGCAAACCGGGCACGTATGTAAGCCCTCCTTGTCCGGACTCTACGCTCATCCCTGGTCGCTTTATACCAGAGCAGCACACAGTCCCACAAACACTCCCAGATGTCAACGCACTGCACTATGGACTTACATCGCAAAGTATTGACTCAAACCAAAAAGATTCCTATTCAAATGAATGGCCCCTCACAGGTGTGGACCTCTTGTCGTCCGTTGATAGTAGAGGCATCAAAAGTTCAGCTCCTCCTTGTCCTGACCGCTCGCTGAAGCCTGTGTGTGACCTGGTGAACGATACTGGTTCTGCAAACCTCCAGCAAGCTGATAGTCAGGAAGACTTTAAAGAGCTGGACATTCCAGACGTACAATCGACTGAGGGGCTGCTTGTGGACTTTGAGAGTCCAGAAGATCTTTCCAAACCCAGCCACAGTGAAATACTCAAACGTGACTCTGAGATTAATTGCAATTCCCTCAGTTTGCTGGATGTCATATTACCGGTTGTTGGCGAGCCTTATACTTCGAGTAGCATTACACTTTTGGAGACTGAAAGTTCCTGTCCTGAAGCCTCTAACTCAAACGGGCAGAATGATCGTCCGTGGAGTCAGATGGACGAAGATGATGTTTGTAACACATGTCCTAGTACTACAGAGGAAAATATTTCAGCATTCAGTGAAGAGCATGCTGTGTCGCTCCAGCCCGACTCAACATCTGAAGATGTCAGAAATCCAGAGGATTTAACTGGAAGTCCCACTTCGGAGAAGGAATCTTCTCTGTCTTGCTTGCCAATGGCTGTATCTATGTGTGGTTCCCTTGTGGCGACTTTAGACCCTCAAAAGGCAGCAGTGGTCGAAACCAAAGATGAGGCTGAACTAGAAACAAAATCAGCAATTCAAGAAGCTGAAGAGTTAACTCTTCCATTAGAAGAGCCAGTGCCTCCATTCTCCTCCAGCAGGCCTGATTCTTCACCTGAGGATGAACCTGAGATTGTCCAGATCATGTCGAACCCTGCTGCTGCAGGCCACTACCCTGAAAGAAACTTCAAACGCACCTTATCGCCAACGGACAAATTAACTTGTAGAGATTTGGGTGCAAGCAATCCGTCTCCATCCTATTCAGAAAGTCCAAATTATTCGTACGAGTTCGGTATTGCCAACGATTACCTACCTGAAAGCGACCAGACAGTGATGATGGTCACGGACGAGGAACTTGATGCCTTTCTAATGGGTCAAGGTGTGAAAATCAACCCCGATGCAGCGGTGGAAAAATTCAGTGATGACGGCTTTTCAGAATTTAATGGAAATGCTGAAAGAGATGGCTTCTTGGATGAGGAGTTGCAGAGTTGTAAAGTCGAGACTTTTGCCTCACCTGAGAGTGATGGCTCACAGTATCTGGAGGAGAGCGAAGGGTCAAACGTTTCCTCTTCATCTCAAGACAGCAGCCCGCTGAGAGCAGACTCTACTCAAACAATTACTCATGAAACCGTAACCAGCCCTGTTGAGATTCAATCCGTTTGCTCCCCGAACCAAGAGTCAACTTACGGTGGTGCAAGACCAAAGCAGTTGTCCAACCAAACCGTACGGCCTCCATCAGAACGACACAGAATCAGCCATGCCGAAGCCGATGTGGGAGGATCAGCGAATGGCTCGCAAGTGTCTCCTAACCAAGATGAAATCAACTGTGAACCACCGTCCTATCAGCAGTATGATAGCAGCTATGGCTGCGATGAGCTCTCGGAGCCTCCGCCTTACCCAGGAGAGATGTTGGAGGACGGGGAGTCATCTGTTGATCTGTCTGGACATGGGGCTGAAGGTTTGGGGTCAAAGCAGCCACCCTGGGTCCCTGACTCTGAGGCTCCTAACTGTATGAATTGTATGCAAAAGTTTACCTTTACTAAGAGGAGACACCATTGCAGAGCTTGTGGAAAAGTAAGTTCATTATCTCTCAATATGTTAAGGCCAATATATAAACATTCAAGTAATTTACTTTTTAAAGTAATGCATTTGATTTAGTATGGATGTGACGGCAGAGACATTTTATAATGTTAAAGATCATTTCTATTTCAATCATGCTGTTATTTTGATCTGTTCAGGCAAAATTTGTTTTCCGTTAGACAATACGCTTAAGTCACTATTCGATATGCATCTCAATTTTGTATTGTGAATTCACAACACAAAATGATCTTGTGTATTTTAAACAAAAAAGTTTAATATTATTATTATTATTATTATTTATGATAATCAATGTGTATTGTCAATGATAATTGCATGGCATTTGATAACTGTATTTTTATACAATATTCAATTCAATGCACAATAGCCCCTTTCACACAGTGATACCGGTAAATATCTAGAAAAATTCTGGAACGACTTTACTGGTAAATTAAAAAAAGTGCTGTTCACACAAGCAAGGACATTAAGGATTTTTTTTCGGAAAAGACTATTCACACATCCATTCCACAATACCGGGAAAATGTGACATCATTAACCAGAAATTACCTATAAACATCATTTCAAACCACAAAAAAAGTCAATAAAAATCTGACACATACCTTAGGAACTGTATTACTGAAAATTTGGGCAGTTTTAAAACCTTGACTTTTTCAAACCGCGGTATACCTTGAAAACATTTATTGTCCCATGCCTAGTCACATGGCATCAGCGCAGCATCAAGCCGGCCAAAATTTTGAACCGTCATGCACTTAGACAGACTTCAATCAGTCTGTGCAGCACTGCATGAAGTCGAACGCATCTTTTGATTGACATTCTCCCTTTGTATGATGTCATCAAAGAAGGAAAGCCCCGCCCACTAGTGGCGATTTCTCCCCGGTTAACATAGGAGGTTAGTCTTGTGTTTGAATCTGCCACTATGCTGACACACAGGCATTCGTAACTCCGGCCCTCTTCTGAAAAGAATTCTCATTTGAATTTAAGTGACAGCTACCAAAACGCCACAATTACGATCAAAGCCTAAAAGGGTCAGTTTCAAAGAGTTGTAAAACATTATTTTTGGGGTATTTTGTGCTGAAGCTTCACATACACACTCTGTGGACATCAGAAGGGCATAATAGGTCCCCTTTAAGTGTTCCCACAGGTACGATATGTACAGTCACTTATAGAAAAAGCAAACCCTTTGCATTGGTGCCTGATCACCCTGTTTTTTTAGCAAAAAAGGCATATCCTCAGTGCTTTGGTAATGTTTTTACTTCAGTTTTGAAAGTGACTTTGTAACTTTGTTTAGCAGTGGAGTGTGCCCTGACTTTTGGAGGTGAAAGGCAAATAACCGCAGTGTGAATCAATGAATTAACATGCAGTCAGCTGCTTTGATTTTGAGCAGAGGTCTACAATCACTTCTGTTGTGCTATTGCCTAGTTATAACAACAGGAAAGCCTTAAACCTGTAGTCCTCTGCCTTTTCGATGGCTAAATTACTCATTTTATCTATTGGTCCGAAGCTCTCTTTTGTTTTCGTTACGTCAGTGTATGGTTCATTCTTCTCTGGAGGGGCTAAATATAGAGGCGGATTTGCCGGATCAGCAGAATCTATTTTTAGCCCTGATATAGTTTCCCACTTGAGTTGCTGCACCGAGAAGACATATTGGGCCAATAAATAAAATGGGCTAAAGGACACAAGAGAGCCTTCTCCAGGTTTATGCGTGATGAAGTACTGCGTTTACCATGCGTTTGAGTGAATAATGCTGTCTGTTTTGCAGGTTTACTGTGCCAGCTGCTGCAATCGCAAATGTAGACTGAAATATCTGGATAAAGAGGCCCGGGTTTGTGTCATCTGCCATGTTACCATACAGAGAGGTGAGTGCTGAACTGCGTTAATTTACTGTCAAGCTGTCTTGGTAGGGTCTAGGATGCACTGCACAACAGCTCCATCATAGCAACCCAACATTAGAGGTCAGAGAATCTGTGGCAGTGGTTCATGCCAGTGTAGAAATGGGGCACGTGATCTGTGGTTTATTTTTAGCTGGATGCAAATCGGGGTTGATAAAATGGCCAGTTTTGAGGAAGAGCTACCCAGAGGGACTCATTATATTGACTTTGTGAAAGTGGCTCCCATAGGGAGTTCACTTTAAGTGGTTAACCCTGGGTCATTCATAGTTTACTTGTGGTTAACAATTAATTCAGTGCATTCATGTGCTGAAGTGGCATTGTTTTCAAACCTAAATCCTTAATGTGCTTATTTGCATATTTGCAGTGTCACTGTGTTTGATTGGAAAAAAAAAGGTCTAGCATTGCACATCCACATATTAAAGAGCCCATATTATGGGTTTTTGAAAATTCCCCTCTATGTAGTGTGTAACACAGCTCTAAGTGAAGTGAAGTATCCAGCTAAGGCGTAAATCTGTAAGTGTACAGTGTTTAAAACTGTTGATTCATCTATAAAAGAGTCGACTCATAGTGCTTCAAATGAGTCACCTTGATACCGAGTCATTAGGTGTTTCGCCATGACGTACGAACGAAACCAAGTTATTCACGTGCACGCGCAAATCCGGGAGATTTGAAAACTGCGGCCCCGCCCTCTGACGCAGAAACCCAGACACACACACACACACACACACACACACACCCACAAACACACACACACACAAACATGCCGGTCGATTGAAGTCACACTGCAGATGGATATTATCAAGTCTCTACCCAAAGATGAAACCACAGCATTAAAACCAAGCAGTTGGAAACTACTGGAAACTTCTGCAAACTACATGCTCCAAAGAATACTTCATCTGCGTTTGTTAAAGGAAGGATCAGTAAAGAGTAACTTACTGATGGATGTCAGGATGGGTTTCTTCCTCCATTTCTCAAGTGTAAGTACGTGCGATTAAAGTTGACTCTAGCTTGCAAATGTATTTAGTTGTGATTTGTTATTTGTAGCCGCATGTACTGTATCAGGTTAACTGGCTATATTCTCTTATTGCGTGCAAAGTCACGTTAAAAACGCGACGCGTGCTGCTTTTTTTACGGAGCTCCGTGGACGAGGGTAGTGTGTGTGTGCGTGCGTGTGTGTGTGTGCGTGCGCTGTCGTCCGGAGGTATGTGTGTGTGCGCACGTGTTGTCGTCCGGAGATGTGTTTGTGTGCGCGCGCGCGTGTAAGGACGAGGGCAATATTTGTGTTTTTGTGTGTGTCTGTGAAAAGAGCAGAGTGAGACAAGCTAAGAGATCTCCTCGACAGTTTTTGGAGTTTTTGCTCAATAAAATAGTCAGTCGTCTGTATTTTCAAGTCCATCGACTGTATTTACATTCACCCACTGGCAGCTAAAATCCACGACTACACTATCGAGCGTGTATGAACTGTGATTACTTTTATATTGCTGATTAGCTGTTGGGTATTTCACTCTCTGACTGAAGGCAGTCGACCAATCGCAACAGACTGTCATCGGTCCAATCAGCGCAGATTAGCTTTGCGCTAAGGAGGGGTTTGGGAACAAATGAATCACTGGACGATTCATACAGGAGTCGCTGGGATAATTAGGTAAAAATAAATGCAGATTATAAGACCATGAAAGTGTTTTTGACCTTGCATGCATATTAGACTGTTGTTGGAGACCCTTACAACCAAGATATGACCCTATTTCATGTATAATATGGGCTCTTTAAAGAAACACTACACTTGTTTTATTGAAAAATAGGCTCATTTTACAAGTGACCTTGAGCTAAACAGATGACTTGTTCTATTTCTGAATCCATTCAGCCAATCTCCGGGTCTGTAGTAGTCAAATAGGGTATATGCCGAAGCATGCTAATGGGACTTTTAATTTGCCAGTAACCTGGGTTAAGCACTTCTGGTGAACTGTATGCCAATGCAAAATCAGCGCGTTTAAGGTCAGTTTTCTTTAAAAATCTGCGCTCTCCCCTGACTGAGTGATATGCGATATAAAGTGGGTCTCAGATTGTACAAGAAGCACTGCATTAAATTACATTTTCCCTGCCATGTCTTTATAAAATGAGCATTTATTTTACCCCAGTATATTCAATGGAGCTTCTGCGCTAGCCTGCCGATTCTGACGGGAAGCATACTAGTAAACGACTTCTTGTCTCGTTTTACGTTTAAGCAACTAAATGGATGCCAAAGTCTGTTTAACTGATTGTATTTAAATTACATTACAGCATCAATGCTTTAAAAGTAACCGTATAATAGAAGGTTACTGGAAGTTTATCAGTATGGGAACAACACTAGTAGCTCAGCATATCCCCTATTAGCCTACAAAAGTGGAGTGTTCCTTTAAGGGTTTACTATTTATATATTTCTATGATATTTAGTGTCTTTCAGTTTTTCTTGAATGGACTTTTCAGGCTATAAAAATAATTAAGTAGTTTCTTCTTCACTCCCTTGTAGGGATTTAATGTATAACCCCTAGTGAAAAGTGTTGCTAAGCTTGCTAAGAAGCATGGGTTCATGTCCTGGGGTTAGAAACAGTGCCAGCACTGCTTCCAAATTGTGAACCTTTTTGTTACTTTTTGTTCAAATGTTACAACAACGATTACCTGGAGGTTAATCACAGTGTGAAAAGCCCTCAGTTGCTGTTTGTGTCTGTAGAAGTGCCACCGTTTAGAGTTTATCAATAGTAATAGAGTTTACTGCCGGTGATTAGTGCCTGTGCTGCATCTGTTGTCGACCGAATCATTGTTTAAAAGACGTTTTATTGTTTAATTTGCATCCCAGTGAGTGTGTGGATGATATTAGACGGTAGGTATTTATACATTTGGTCTGAATAGCACATGGGGCATCAGAGTCAATGCTTTCCATTCACTTTAAATGGGTGATGTAAAATGTTGCCGAACTGCATTGTGGATCTGTCGGCGCCGCTTCAGAGACGTTGCTCGCTGCAGAAGTTGGGACTAGCTCAACTTTTCAAGCACCGACGAAAGTGTCAGCCAATCAGATCGCTGTATGCAAATACACCAGCTAGACAGTGGCCTATTGCTGACTGAATTTCATTGGCTGACGCTGCTATGACGATCGCTTCAGCCCCAACTTCAGACACGCCTTCAGTCAAGCGTTGACGCTGAAGCCCCGTGTGAATGGGGCGTAAGTTGAGACATGTTCATTTTCTTCTGGGTTTTTCTGCAATTATTATTTTAAATTCAGATTTGTCGGCACAGGTTTGTTTAAAGTGAGAAGTGTTTATTTGAAATAAACCGGTCTGTGATTGGCATTTGAAGCAAAAAAAAAAAAAAAAGGTGATTAATTAACATGTTCAAATTTTGAGTCTCGAGTTTGTTGTTATTATGTTGCCTGGGAAAAAAATAACAACAACGTTTTCTAGATGTAACCATATGTTCACACCGAAAGGAACGAGAGGATCAAAGTAGCCGGAAGTCATTCATTTTTAATGAAAGCCGGCGGCGATAAGCGGTGAGGAGCAGCGCGGCGCGTCTTCACCGGTGTGGGCGTCGAGGAGAGTCTAAATTAAGTCAACTTCACGGCAATGAGCTATGACGCGGTTCGGCGGCAAGCAATCAGAATGAAGAAGTCCGCCGCTTGAGAGGAGTTCAGAGAACACAGACCTGTGAACTTTAGTTCTGACCACAGTTGTTCCCAGGGGTTTTATCATTGCGGTCGCCGGGTTTTCAGTTATTTACAATGTTTTCTTACAGGAACATGCATTAAATAAGTTACTGGCGAGTTACTGATGTGCATTAATGTTATATGTATTTATCTTTAAAAAAGCGGGAATCTCATGCAACAGTACAAAACAGTACTGCTGCTTCAGAATATATCAGACATATACACACATTGGATAATTAAGTGGAGCAAAGCCACACCACAAGCAACTTGATCTTCCATTTTTAAATTTGATAAGAAGTGCGCAACATTTTCACGCTAGAAAGCTTGTTTTACGCAGGAATGTAACTGATATGCTGCAACCGCCCCTTTAAATACGAGATCAGTGTAGTGAATTTGGACGCTTTCACCGCTTTCGGTGTAAACGAACAGTTAATCTTAAGGATATCTATAAACTAGTGTGTTCCAAAAACGTGACAGAAGATGTAAACATTTAAAGCTTGTAGTTTGTCACTTGCACCTAAATGGATCAACTTTTTTTTTTTCACGTCACTTCATACTTTAGTCTGTCATCAAATCTCGACCAATCAAATGCTCTCTAAGTTTTGACATGCCCCGCCCCCTTCAAGACGCTTCTCATTTGCTTTTCATTTGATGTGTTTGAGCTCAACCACTCTCACTGGCAGAGCTGTGGTAAAAACAAAATGCTATTGGCTGGTTTTTAAAGGGGAGGAGCTACTCTACACTCAAAAATAAATATCATTTTGCTTGTCCAAACTACTTATTTAAACTGAGCTGAAACAACACAATGTTTTGAGATTTCATCAGGACAATTTAATTTTTTTTATGTGCAGTCCACATAAATTTGTTAAAAGTGTTACGTTAATTTAATCAATTTGGGTTCGGACAGCATCAATGAATTGTGTGGAACCCTGCACTTTTTTACAGTGTATGCCACGCCCTCACTGTTTCAGATTAGATTACGTTGATCATTGAATAATCAAACATTTGAAAGCACTTCACAGAACTTTTAAAGGCTTTATACTCGTCAATGGATCAAAACTCGAAAGGCCTTTATGGGTGTTGTGCACTTTTTGGCAAAAGTGATCATCATCAGAGCTCTTTTCTGTGTTTCATCCAGTCATGCAGAACCAACGTTGTTCATGTTTCTTCTGCTCAGACAGCCACGCTTTATTAAAAGCCCATCTTGCCAGCAGTGAAATCTCCTTTTAAGTTATTTATAACTATTCTTTCTTGACCTTCACAGACACAAAGTGCTGTATGCTTTTTT